GAGTGCAGTGGACATCAATATCCGTGAAGGTGAGGAGGAAGAACAATTGGTGTTGCTTTATGGATTAGTGTCTGGTGACTACTGGGGATAAGCTTGGTCCCAGTGCAGAGAAACCCAGCAAGCGTAACCTCAGTCATATAGTGTCTCATCTGCACAATATACGCAGCCTCTATGAGGACTGGATGCTATCCATTTATGGCATGCTGAGCACAGCCCAATATCAAAATGGAAAGGCTGACGCCCAGCTAGAAGATACACCAGCTGACCTTGAAACCTCTCCTTCTCTGTGCAGGGGCTGATTATGGGCTTGTTCAGTGGTGAGAGGAAGGCTCTCTATACATGCTCAAAAGCACACACTCTCATTTCAGCAGTTTCCATCTTCCTGGCTCTAGAGGCAAGCAGTATATTGGACTACTAAAAGAAACAATCCAGCCTGATTAAGTTGCCGGTCTGCCACTAAGGCTGCTCCCCCATCTTTTACCACCACCCCTGCCCTTGAATGCCTGCCTCACTGGCAATATCCCTGTTCCCGTGTTCCTGGGGAAAGTTCTTGCCCTTGGGCTGCTCCCTCCCTCTTTCCACCTGAGGCTTGGGGCAAGAACAGCCAGAAGTCTCTCCCCCACACCCCACCCTGCAACACTTAAAGGCATCACTTTCTCTATTCAACACTGCTGGGAGGGATAATTGATACTAAAGCCCTAGTTAATGCACTGGCTTTGCTGGGGGATTTATCGCTGCCGATAGCGTCTCCTGCTCCCAATTACCCATTTAGCTGCTGAGATAACAGGCTGCTCAATCAGCCCCATCCCCATGGTTATATACTGCAGCTCGATGCTCATAAATACTGTCCAAGCACAGCTGCAGGCACCTCCTTGCAGGGTCATGGTAGGAGCTGCTGGCATCCATTCTGCAGAGTCTTCCTCCCTTCCACCTGGCTCAGCCCTTGCCCTCCCCCAAGGCCTCACCTCCCTTTCCTGCTCCTTGTCTGGGAAATGTGGCTCAGATCCATCACCTAGGTGACTTCAAAAGCATTGAGCCTGTTTCCATGACAATCCTGATGCAGGTGGGCAGGGCAGCAAAGGCAAGAGGGCAATCTGAGCCTGCCTCCCACTGCTCCCAGGGGTGCAGGCCTCCCTTGAGGGTGCCAACCCTCTGTCCTGGGAAGTCTGGGGCACTGTCTCAACTTGGCAGAGGCTGCAGTGCTGGAGCAAGTCAGTTATAATGCTACTTTTATGTTGCGGGGTTCCCTCCCTGTTTAACGCCCCCCTGAACACCACTGGCACAGTCTCAACCCCATCATCTGTAAAATGGGGATAATTGCACTGATCCCCCCTTGAAGGATCTAATAAACAAATACAAAGGTTTTCTTAAACACCGCAGGAAATGCTGCACAAAGGAAATGCTGCACAAAAGCAAGGGCATAAAATTATCATTGCTGAGACACTGCCTGCCCCGAATTAAAACTGGAGGTACCCTTCAATCTTACAGCCAAATATATTTATTTTTAAAGTGTGGAAGTGTAAGCATTGCTCACCTGCTGAAGCCTACATCTCATGTAGGAAACTACGGTACCTTCAACCAGGTCTGGCTATTTGCTTATCTAGCTCAGTATTGTCTCCTCCGATTACCAGCCGATCTGCAGAGTCTCGGGGCAGAGGCTTTTGCCCCATTGCATGCTCCTGATTGTTGTTTTCAAACTGAAAATGGCGAGAGAAGAACCCGGGACCTCCAGCACACAAACGTGGGAAGTGCTATGGAACGGTGGTCCCCTTCCTCTCTGTTTCTGCATGAGTCACTAGGATGAGAGCGACTCCTGGTGGGATGAAAGCACAGGAGCTGAGGGCAGTCACACAGACAGCTTCTTCTGAGAGCAGGTAACTCTGCTGAGTCTCTGCATCAGGAGCGATTGGATGAACCAGTCACATGCGATGCCAAACTATACCCCTGCCCTGCCAGTGGAGAATGATCGAAATGAGGTATGACTGGAGCAGGAAATTGTTGCAAGATGCAGCAGGTAACGAATGAATGAAGGCTTTGGGCTCACAAGTGACTGTATTTCCCATGGTACATTGTTTGGGGATCACAATGCTAAGGATAGTGGGTTATATCCAATGCCAGTCCTACTCAGAGTAGACCCATTGAAATGAATGGGCATGACTAGCTTGGGCCTATTCATTTCAACTGGTATGTTTTTAGGAGAACTTGGCTGGATGCTACCCAGTGACAACAGCTACTGTATACCTGCTACCCAGTTCCTTGCACAGAGCTAATTCAGGGGCCCTTTCCCCTCATGGCAACGAGTCTTTCCTGCTGTCCCAGCAAATGCCAGCTCACCCAAAATGGCAGGCTCCTCTGCAGCAGAAGGGCTGTTTTTGCATGTTTCCCTGCCATGTGTTCGTCGCTGTGTCAAGTGGTACAAAAGGAGGAGTTCACTATTACAACCATTAGTGTAATGAAAGGTGGCAGCCCCTTGATGTTGCAGCAGCCTGGCATAAGGAAGGGATTCGCTGAGCTCCCACTCTCTGCCTCCACAATCTGTGCCCCCAACAACACACATACATACACACAGCCACACGGCCACATCCCCAGCTATTAAAGGGGCCGGGAAGATAATGAGCTGACAGGGAAACACAAAATCAAGGCAGCCCCCAAGCTCCCGTTGTGCTCATAGAAAGAAACAAGATTGTAATTACAGGGACAGCGGGCAATTAAGTGGGTTGAGGGCTAATTAGTACCATCAGGTGGAGGCCTGCCACAAGCGACTTTCCCCACCAGCTCTGCAGGGATAACTGTGATCAGGGCAGTTTACTAGGGGCAGGAGGGGAGGCAGGGGGCTGCACTCTGGCTTGTGCTCAAGAGCCAGCCCCAGAGAGGTCCCTATCCCAGCCCTATTGCTGCAAGAATAAGCCAAGGTAATAGAATCTTTGAATTTGTAGAGTTGGATAGGGCCACAAGGGTCATGTAGTCCAACCCTTTGCATGGCAGGAATATTACGCCCTACGTGGGGCTTGAACCCATGACCCTGGGATTAAGAGTTTCATGCTCTCCTGACTGAGTCATACAAATCTTTTGCCAAGTTAATATCAGGGTGTAGGTATGGACCCAGTCATTAGAGCTCCTATATGCAGGTGTACCCTACGCGGGTGGCGGGACGCAGGTGGCACTGTGGGTTAAACCACAGAGCCTAGGACTTGCTGATCAGAAGGTTGGCGGTTCGAATCCCCACGACGGGGTGAGCTCCCGTTGCTCAGTCCCTGTTCCTGCCAACCTAGCAGTTCGAAAGCATGTCAAAGTGCAAGTAGATAAATAGGTATCACTCTGGTGGGAAGGTTTGAGGGGTTTCCGTGCGCTGCTCTGGTTTGCCAGAAGCGGCTTAGTCATGCTGGCCACATGACCCGGAAGCTGTACACCGGCTCCCTCGGCCAACAAAGCGAGATGAGCGCCACAACCCCAGAGTTGGTCACAACTGGACCTAATGGTCAGGGGTCCCTTTACCTTTATGCACCCTAGGTGTCTCTGTGTGTGTATATGTGTATGCACTAGATCCACATTTGTTGTCACTGAGGATTCTGTTTCCATGCTGGGGACAAGCTACCGTATTTTTTGCACCATAACACTCACTTTTTTCCTCCTAGAAAGTAAGGGGAAATGTCTGTGCGTGTTATGGAGGGAATGTCTACGGGTGGCATGCCTACGGATTTTCCTCCTCTAAAAACTACGTGCATGTTATGGTCGGGTGCGTGTTATAGAGCGAAAAATACGGTATTCATTGACATTTGAGGCACAACCTTTATGAATTCAAACCTTTAGGATGAATGTAAAGTTACTACATATGCATTCTGCCTCCTTTCCCCTAAAGACTTCAGTGTAGCAGCAACAACGCCCCTCCCCATTTTATCCTCACAACAACCATGCAGGATAGATCAGGTTGAATGCTGTGACCTGCCCAAATCCATCCAGTAAGCTTTGTGGCTCAGTGGAGATTTAAACCTGGGTCTCCCTGGTCCTAGTCTGGCGCTCACACTCTGCTGCATTGACTATCAATGATCTAAACACAGACCTCCCCATTCTTAATCGGCCGCTCAAACTAGTACACTGCAGGTAGCCTAGCATTGTCCTGATTCCTGCCTAAAGAGCATTGGGAATGGGCCCAGAAGAACATAACTTGTTCCAAGCCAACATCCCAGTCTTACATCTGTGTTGGAATTGTGGGTTTGGCATGGATTCCTACCAGGAAATGATTGAGGAACAAAAGAAGATCCTCACAGTTAACATGAGGAGGTGTGAAGGGTGCTTGTGGAAACCTGCCGTTCTATTCATTAATAGTTTGGGGGCATGTCACTGAAATCAGGAATCCGACAGGTGTTTATACTGCAGTATCAGGTGCAAAAGTTCTGGTGGTTAAGGTCCAACTCTGCTAAAACGAAGGGTTATGAACAACCAATGTACAGTAGCATTGTCACTTACTTTTGAGCAGGCATAGTATCATGCTGTTAGTCATTGAGCTACTCTAAAAACAAACAAACTATAACTATGCAGTGTGCATCATCCTCTCCACCCAAGCAGAAGTATGCCATAAGATCTGTTTAGCTGGCCAAGGGTTTCTGTGAAAAGATTTCCCGGTCTCAAAGTCCATCTGCACTGTTTTGCTGCTCCGTACCTCCTACATTAAAACATTACTGTTGCTGCTGTCTTGTTACATTTATACCCCACCTTTCCCCCAAGGAGCTATATGGTTCTGCCTTTCCCCATGTTATCTTCACAACGACCCTGTGAGGTAGGTTAGGCAGAGAAACAGTGTCTGGCCCAAGGTCACCCAGAGAGCTCCATCTCTGGCCCAAGGTCACCCCATCTCCCAGTCCAGCACTCTGGCTCACTCAGGGTGGTCACACACAGTCTCCCTTTCAATACTATTTGTACCTGCAAAGTTTTGGGAGTGACCACATTGCTTCATTTCCAGTCAATGCATTTCCTGTAGCTTCTTGCAGAAATCCCATAACTTTTTATACCACAAATGTTCTGGTTTATTTTTGTCCAGCTTTTGGTGCGCTATAGCCCCTCTGGACAGCAATAACATGGTTGCGTTGGGGAAGCACTGCAGAACCAACCCAAGTGGGATAAATCCACTACTATGCATTATTATTGTGTCCAGTGCTTTTTTTTCTCGGGATACACAGGGGTACGCATGCCCCTAAACACTTTGTGAATCTAATGGGAGAAGAAGCTAAGTTTCTTCTCTAGCACGGTGAATCTTCAGTTCTGTTGAATAGCATGGTGAATCGTCAGTTTCGTTGTTACCACCTCCAATGGCGGCTTCATTTCCTTTCCCAGTGATTTTCTTGAGTCAAAATGAGAGGACCCCTAAACATTTTTAAGAAAAAAAGCACTTATTGTGTCTATAACATGTTGCAGAGGACACCTGCAATGAAACATCTGTCTTGGGGGGGCAAGTCCCTCTCCAGGCCATGCCCCCCACTCTCCTTAAGAACTTTCCCCTGACTCTTACTAGCCTGGATGTGCAGAGGGGTGTAGGGGGTGTGGGTGTACAAGCTGTTGACTGTGTGACTGAAGTGCAGACTATATAATTGTAAGAATCACCTCCCTTGCTATGCCCTCTTTGGCCTCTGGCCCTGCTTGTCATTGGCATGTGGCACCTGCAGGGGTGCCAACTTGAATAAAATATTTTGAGGGGCAGGTAATCCCGACCCCACATAATTAATCATAAGATGCAGCACACACACACCGCATTTGAATGGCAATGCCCATTAACTTTTGGGCCCCGGCTCCCTCAAATATTTTATTGGGGGGACTGAAGGGACCTTGGCCCCTAGGAGTTGGCTCCTATGGGTGCCTGGGAAGTCCACCACAAGAGGATGCTCCCTTGGGCTGGGAAAAGGTTTGCCACACCTGACGTAGCCTGTCGTATGTGGGAATGGTTAGCGAATTAGTCACCGAAGTACTCATCCTAGAAATTGACTAATATGTTTGAAAACATTTGATACTCTGTTTCTGTAACAGCTCAGGAGGTTGGATCTAGGATATTATCATCTTGTTAATGAAAAGGAATGGGGTGGGAACACTTCTATTATGCTTAAGAATCTCAGAGCCTTTTCAGATCATAAAAATATGGAGGATTACCTGTAGCGCTCTCTTTGCAATAGTCCTGATCCGGTGCCAGTTGCACAATCATTCACCCCCACATAATAGAGGAGGGCAGTCGTTTTGCGGCTGTTTGCCATTTGTTTTTGCTAAGTAGAAGGCTGGGCGATCACTCCAGGGCTGGCTTTGCACAGCAGGGGAGCACACAGGCAGCAAGAAAACGGGGAAAAAATAGCTTCCACGCAAAGGTTCCTGAAATGGCAGTGAAAGGAGGGAGCCGTAGGGGCAGATGTCAGCTTTTGGGATGTTAAAAACAACCAAGCGAGTGCTGGATGAGCTGTTACATCAGGGCTTACTTTGTGCATTGGGGAAACACGTAGCCATCAGCAAGATAAATTATTATCTTTTAAAATAAGAAGTGCCTAAAATAGAAGTTGGCAGAAGGATCCAATCACGAGGCAGAGGAGTAGGGCATTTATTGTTCAGCACTGGCACTGGCAGAGACAGGATGACAGAAGGCAGGTTTGTAAGTAGCCACTCGCCTGGTTGCCTGTGGTGAAGGCCAAAATGGATGTGGCAATGATTTACACACTTCAGAACATAATACTCGCACAAAACCAGAAAACATCACAGACAATTGGTACTAGCCTCATCAATGCATATTTTATTCCGAGCCTCCAGATTTGCACAAACCCAGAAAATACACAAGCAACTTTGCAATTCCCTGGCTGTGTGTTTTTGCACACTTCTTGGTGGTGGAGGTTGTTGTTTTAAAGCAGGGTGCATGTAGCTATCTGCACACATGCCCTACTGGTACTTAATAGGCATAACAGAATCAAGAAATTAGAAGGCAGCGACACACACAAAATGGAATGCCTACTGATATGAACAGCAAAGACAAATCAAGTATATGCAATATACAAATTCATGTGGGTGCAGACTATTCTTTTCTAGTTCAAATGGAGAAGCCTATAGTTGTATGTGGGCTCAGCCCTACTATTTGTCCCTCACTGACTGCTCAAGATTGCTTAGGAGGTCACAGTGCTGCAGAGACCATTGAAGCCATGACTGTCAGAGTACCCTGTTAGGGTTTAGAATCCACATCTAGTACCCTGAAGCTCAGGTGTGAGGAACCTGTGGACCTCCAGATGCTGCTGAACTACAGCTCTCATAATCCTTGGCCACCAGCCATGCTTTCTGGGGCTGATGGGGCTGATCTGGAGGGCCAAAAGTCCCACATATCAGTTGTCCTCTCTTGGCCTCCTTGGTCCAGAGTCCCTATATCTCCTTCCTGCTTCCTTAACACAAACAGTGTTCAGTCCCAGTCCTGCTTTCTCCTTTTCTTCTACTTGCTTGTCTTCAGCACCCTGTGGCGCCCAATGTCTATGTTTGCCTTCCTTGTCTCTTCAAGGGCCTAGTCAGCCCCTTGGTTCTGCTTTCACTGCTTAGGGGCTCCCTGCACCTTAGCTTTTCGATATCTTTTCTTGTACCTCTTGATTCCCAGCCAAAGTGACGGCTTTCCTTTCCTTCGTAGAAAATGGATTGCAAATTGTTTAGTTCCCCGAGCAGGTAAGCAAACATTCTGAGTAATCTCACCCGCTCAACCAATGAGCGCCAGGTGCTTCTCCATCACAAGTGCAATTCAGTATCGATGTGTTAGTTGAAGGGGAAATGCCGTTTTCCTACAGGCAAAATGCATGCTCCGCAGTTTGGCTAGAGCAATTCTGTTTTCTGGAGCGCCGCCATTCCTAACTTCTGCGGCGCATTGTTACCCCGACTTCCTCTCCCTGCCGCCTTCACCTCTGCTAACACCAGACCCGTTCCTGATCTTTCTGCACCTTTTCCTAATCCCAGGTTTGTGTTCCCATATGCACAGCACTGCAGATATTCCCCACCTTCACCCCCATCTCGCAATCCTTCCAAATAAGGATATATGGGCAATGTTTAGTGCTGCCAATGCACCTACTACCAGACAGCAGCAAACTGGTGGCTTGTATCTGGGCTCCCTCTTATTCTGCCTCACCTGCTTTCCCTCCTTCTGCACTCTCCCCCTTCCACCGTCAGCTTCTGCTAGCACCCTCAATCTTCTACCTCCACACCTCTAAACCTCCCATTTAGAGCTCCCTCTCAACAGGGACCGTTGCTTGCGCTACTGTGCTAGATTGTGTGCATTAGTTTTTGTGACAAAGCTGAATGCCCAATTTTAGAGGCTGCTAAATTCACTTCACCTGGTGGGATTAAAAGCGCAGGGCTCTGCAGCAGCAGCAGCAGCAGCAGCCCTCTTGCATTGCCAGGTGCTCTTTCCCTGTGCCAGGCCCAAGAGGCCTTTGGCTGGGGACGGAGAGGAGAAGAAAAGGGCACATTGCACTTTATTGCCATAATGTGGCTTAATGAGGAGTAAATGGAATAAATAAAGTGGTTTCCAATAAGATGATGTTTCTGGCCGTAGGTGGCTTGCCTGGCAATAGATGAACTGGGCAGATGCACAGGATATGTTTGTGTAAGACCATAGGAGGCTGCATAATCCAGGATTACAACCAGAGTATTTGATATGTGAGTGGAGTGGCTGTCTGGCAAACTGATGTGTATATTTTAAGACACATTTTTGAGCATCTCATGTGCATCTTGCATGGCAATTGCATTTTATTTCACAAGCCTCTCACTGACATGTATACACAGTGCTGTGTTTGTCGGTGCATAGATTCTGGGTACCATTTTTTGAGTTTGCTGCAGCTAAATGGGTATGAAGGAAGGATGCAATGGGTACTTGATGTATTTTCTGTGTGCCTCTACAAGTGCATTTGCCTGCAGGTACAGCGGCATGCTTGCTGCATGTGTACATTTTATGGCACATCTGCCTGACAGGCTTAAGTGTGCACAGTAACTTGCACATGCAGACATACCTGTGCTAGTGTTTGTTGGACCCAGATGCCCCCCTGCTTGAGCTGCAGGCAGCTAGGCTAGGGAGTGGGGTGGGGGGTTGAGAGTTGTTAAATCAGTGAGTTATGAAATGCCTTTATATCCAGGACAGGGGTTTTAATTAAATTAATTGCCAGCAACGCTGTAAAAGTGCTGAGGGGTAATAACCGGAGCGTTATGGCGCCGTTTATCTTCCCCACGTAAATTAGCTGCTGCACCTTACTACTCTCGGCAGCTGGACGTGAGCAGGGTGCAATGCCTGGCAGGTTGAGTCTCTGGGAGCCAAGGGCAGGGAGGGGGAGTTCTCCTGCCCCCGGCTCCTCTTTCCCAGCTGCAGTAAGTGGTCTGTGCCATCGCACATCTGGCTGACATGGGGCCAGTTGTGGCGGGAGGGGGGTGCGTGTTTGACTCAGCAAAGGCATTCTCTCCGCACCAGTCCATACTGCCCTCTTCTGGCTTGCTGGGAGGCTGCAGGGCACTGAGCATCCTTCAGGCTCTCTGTGCCAGCCTGACCGATGGGAGAAGTGGGTGAAAGGAATGCTGTTTAGACAGCGCCTGTTCAGTGGCTGCTATGCCTGCGATGGGGCTTGTAGGGCTTGGTGCAGGAGCAGGTGGAAAGGGCCTTGGGACACTTTGCTCAGTAACAACAGGGGCAAGGGAGGAAAGAGGTCTCCTCAGTGTTGCAGGCAGGGCAGGAGGCCAGGGACCCCAAAGGCAGGAAGCCAAGATCCAGGGGGCATGAATGAGGCTCCCAATTGGCCTAAGACTGGACTTGGTAAAAAAATATGGTGGTACACCATCATTTTCAGGGCTGGTAGCTGCATTCCCCTGGGTGGGGAGTAATCTAGGGCTGCGTACCAGCAGTGGGCAGAACCAAATCCAAAAACTAGCAGGGACAGCTCTTTTCTGTCTTTCCTTATCTGTCTGTCTTCTCCATTCATGTATCATTTTATGTATTCTCTCTCTCTCTCTCTCTCTCTCTCATACTCACACTATTAACTTGCACCCATTTTACATGGATAGGCACAGGCTCCCCTCACCCTGCAAGCTTGGCTCCCTCCTTCTGGGACCGTCAGTTTTCACTTGCTCCCAGCCTCTCACCCATTCATTCACTTATTCATTATCCAGCCATCCATCCATCCTCTCTCCACTCCGCCTCACACACACAGGTTCCCCCCCTGCCCACCAGCCTCCATGCCTGCCAGGTAGGAGGAAGAAAGTAATTTTGGGCACTTTTTTGCCACAGAAAACTGTTGCTACTGAAACTCACTAGCTTGCTGCCCCCAGATCTCAGAGGCTGGATCATTCCCAACTGCCAAGTCACCTCTAGCCTCAAAGTCCACAAGGGAAGTTGATGGGGAAAGTGCAGAGCTGCTGCTCTGACTGCCTTCCCTGTGGGCAAGAGGGTTTCCTCATTGCCTTGCCCTCCATTTTGGGCGTCACGGTTCTGATACACAGATGAGAAATTTCAGGTTAAATGTGGCCCTCAGGCCTCTTTAACTGACTCTGGTGTCTCTCTGAAGCCAACAGCCTTTCCCCAAGACATGTCCTGTACAGTAGCCCTGCTTTCCACCCCCTCGGGCTGTTTTTGCCTATCTGGTTTTGCTCTGCTAATGCCTCCTGTCTGACTGGATGGAGGACAGGCAGGCCCCATCCACTGCCAGCATGTGGCCCCCAGAAGGTTGCTCAATGAGGAATGTGGCTCCCAGACTGAAAATGATTCTCCACTCCTGTTGTAAAAGCATTATTTACAACAGAGTGTGAGGGCACCACAGGGGTGGAAGCTGAGGCAGCTCTGCTTTTGTGGGAGCTGGTCAGAAGGGGAAGGCCTGGCCCTGCCCTGCCCATGTCCCGGCCCCTCGCCTTGTCCTCCGTTGTGTTCTGGGCTTGATGAAGCACTGGTGGCGGCAGGGGGCTGCGGTGGTGGGGCTGCATGCAGCTCCCTGCCATGGAAAACAAAGCCAGCGCTTGATTTGAGATGGAATTTGCCCCTTGTATATTATTCCAGCAGTTCAGAAATAATTTCCACTTACTCACAGATGATGATTCTATATTTAATCTCTCCTCTCTCGGATGAACATAAAATGCCAGTTTCTACATCTCTGCAATTTCTCACTGTTTAGTCAGCCAGTCTTTCGGTGGCAGCGAAAGAGACTTCCTTGCCTTAGCCATGATGTTTTTTTTTCTGCTGTCAAAAGGTTTAATAAACAATTCTTACCCTCTTGGCATGCATCACTCAAATAAGCCAGAGCTTCTTATCTGCACATTTGACGGAAGGTTTTGTTGTTATGTTTCCATTGTGAGTCAGACCCTCCCCCTCCAAAGCTCTAACGT